AGATCGTCTAGGTGGTGGTAAGAGCCAAACCAACAGCGGCGGCAGCAAATGCAATGAAGGCCCAAGGACTATGAAAATGAGTTTGCTGCCACTGAGCTACCCATTTCTTCACGATGCTCTCACACTGCTCATTTATCTCTCTTTTAACATCATTATAAACACTAGTATCAGGTTCAAGAAAACTGCCCATATGGTTGAAGAGATCCGCAACCTGCTGGTCAGGTCCATGGAAATTAATAATTATGCCCTTTGATCGCAGCTCTTTCACGTCATCAGCATCGTCAATCAGCGAATCCATGAAACATATGTAAGAAGTGACCCAAAGTGGATTGAGTGCAGCAGATGCCTCGTAGGCCACTAAGTTGAAGAGCATGGACTTTGTTGACTCATCTATGGTAATTGAAGGAAGCTTCAATGTTCCATAGAAAGATGATGACTTGAACTTGACATCCGTCAAAGCACTCGTCTGACTAGACATGAAGTGGATTCCCACCTTCTTAAGTTCCTTGGCAGTATAATACAAGTAATGGCCACGCCTTCCTCGAGCAACTGGCTTGCACTTTGTAGGAATGAATTTCTTAAGACAAGTGGCCAAATAAGACAAGCAATGGCCGCATCTTCGTGAAGACGACTTGCCTTTTATGTAGTGAGAACCTATGAAAAGAAAATATAGAAGTTGAAGAAGATGGGCAGGTTCTTCATCAGGCTGCCATTGCGAATCATATCCTGAGGCTTGCCTCCCCTTTCTTAGTAGTAACCACAAAAGCCAAGCTGGTATCAGGAGACATAATTCCATCACGGCAAATGCTGGCACCATGCTCAAGAAAACCAGGTCATGATTATGGCTGCTAAAAGTGCGTGATAAAACAAATGGAAGAGCAATTGGAAGAAACATTAACGGGAGACTAAAGGTAGACCAAAGTAATTTTCGAGTCCGCAATGGTTGATCTTTCGGGTTGAGAATATGGAAAAAAAGAAAATCATTCACATGTTTCATTCCATGATTAGTGCCATCTTTTTCGTACCTCAGCCTCGTCAGTGATTTCAGGACTGGAAAAGGAATCTGGTTCTCCAGTAATAACAAATCCCGCTTCACACCAGCAACTTGCCGATCGGTCATCTCTAAATTTTCATAATTATGAGTCACACAGTGGATGAATTGGAGAATAAAGCATCCATCAAGAAACATCATCCGGGTGAATTGCTCGTCATCATAGCATATTATGTCGATCTTGTTGTAAAATTCTCTTGCGCTTTGGATAGCCTCTTCTACTTCACTGTAAATGAGTTCTATGTTTTTTCCACTATCTACGATGAATTGGCGAGCCATCGAAACCTTTAGAATCTCCGCTTCTCTGAGATTGTTATGAGGATCCTGAGAGTTATAAGGCCCAATTGAAACCATCAAAGGACTGTAGCATTCCTTGTTTTCATTTCTAAGTTTGTCTGAAACTTTCGGAATCTTTAGCCCGAGTGGCTGATTGTTTGTAGTGTCTTTGACCTCTCTCATTATGAAACTAAACCACGAAGAACGCTCATTCTTTTTCAATGAGTAATTTTCTAGTGTTTCATCCATCTTCAGCTCTTGAGGTTGGTTGTTATGAATCCCTACCTCTTTGTTGATCAATGGATCAACCCTTACTTCACTTAGATGTGTTTCAACCATTGTTGACACGGACTACTGAGCACCAGCTATGATCATCCGTTGTTGGAGGCTTGATCAAAGATACTGATAGCTGAGAGACAACATTAAAAACATTACCAAATATCAGAACAAAATATCCACAAGACACATAAATATGCAAATAAGTAGCTGTGCTAGAGTAGTTTAGCAAATGACCGGATTTGGTACAAGAAAAGGCCTCTTCTTTCAAGGCGGAGTTATTCTCCTCTGTTGTCTTGCAAAATCAGCACCTTTTACTTCTTGTATCTTAAAAAATATATATCTCAGTTGTTTCTATATATTGCATTCAGCAATTCCAATACTTACATTCATCATGCACTCATACATACATACATACATACATACAGATATACATGTATATCATATATGAGTGTGTGTGTGTGTGTGTGTGTGTGTGTGTGTGTAGGATACTAACGCATCAACACACAACTAGAACATTACAACAGAAAATCATATACCAGCATGTGAAATCATAGAAAATATAAACTTAGATTTTGTGGAAAATATGCATGGAGACTGCAAAGCCTAATTTGAAAAACAACAAAGAAAATACCAAAATCACATAGGAACAAGTGCCATCACAGAGAATATCATATACCAGCATGTGGCATCATAGAAAAAATATATTACTCTCTTCGACTTCCATGAGAGACGGATTAATAAGATAAATCAACTAATTATATAAACCATTACATAATTAATTACGTACGTGATTATTTGATTCACTAAATATTGAGTTTAAGATATAATTAATCAAGTAATTACGTAATGATGTTAATACCTACTTGTCGTGTTCCAGATAATTGACAAGTATGCTAACATGTGTCAATACAGGAAACTAAGTTGTATTCATACGAACATTACAACAAATATTATATTAACAAAAGCCTCAATGCCTAGGGATGTTGACGAGTCAAAGAAATATAATTGCTTAGTTAATGATCAGTTTAGTAAAATAAAATAAAATTTTATTTGTTTAAAATAATTAAAATTTCAAAGATCAAATTTTAAGATTTAGTAAATATTAAGCACCTTTAATTTTCTCCCACTGGAAAAAAATTTAGGTTAGTGTTTTTTCGAGTCCTTAACTTTTTTTTTAATTTGATCCTTCAAGAATTGTTTTTTTTTTAATTGACTTAATGGTTTATTTTTGTTTCCTAGATATTGAGATCTCGTAACATCAAATAAAGGTTTCGACACTTGGTTAATGCTTGGTTCGTCAAAATAAAATTAAGTTTTTTTGATTTAGAGCAATTAGAACTTGAAAGACCAAATTTTACTCTAAAACAAATACGAGGGACTAAAGTTAACATATAGTTGAAGATTGGCTAGCACGTGCTTTCGATGAAAGTCATAGCACTCTAGTGGCATATGAGGCTTCTCTAGTTATGAAACATCACCTTCTACAATTGCGTGGGAAAATTCACAACATGACCTTCTGTCTTGAGATGAGCGTGTGACATGAAGATAAATAGTTTGGTGCCAACAACACTTTTTTTTTTTAATCTCTTTTCTTTTCTTAAAACTTGTTGTGATTTATCCATAATTTAAAATTAATCTTCATTCTTTTGATTATTATTTTTTTTTGTAGAATTTATTTTTTTCAAGTTCAAACTTCAATGTAAAATTTAAGTTGTCCTCTTATTTTTTTTCAAACCATATCCTTATTATTTTAGTTTTTATATTTTGTTTTTGGTCTTTTATAAAATTAATTATTTTTCAATTTTTTCTTTATTTTTCTCGAAATAATGATCCTAATCTTAAGATTTAGGTCACGAGTTTAAAAAATTTATCTAGGTTGTCATTGATCTTTTTTTTAGGATTGATTTTTTTTCACTTATTTTCTTTTTCAAATTCATCATTTGACATTAGATTTTAATTTATTTTTTTTTACCATTAACTTTGGATTGGTTTTATAACTGAGTTTCATAATTTTTTCTCAGTTTACCTTTTTTTTGGCTTTCTCATTCGTATAATCTAGGTAGTGGGGTTTGGTAAGTTTACTCGAGTTTGCAAAGTTTTTTTTCTTTTTGTTAATTGAATTTTTTTTAATTTCACCTTTTTAAATTGATTTGTTAGAAATTGAGTTATGTGATTTTTTTAATTTATTTTATATTAAATTATTTCAATTTCATGACTCAGGTTCTATGTTTGGCAGTCTAATTCAAATTGATTCTAGTTGGTTTTTGTTGACCTCTTTTTAAAAAAAAATTATTTTGCATTGTTCTGGTTATGAATTGAACTTTATCATTTTTTTTCCTTTTGACAAGCATTCACCTTTTTTTATTTAATTTGATCGATTTACTATTATTGCTTTTTTTTCATCTAATTAAATAATACCAACTTATAAGATCTAATAGACCCGAATTAAGAATTCTTCAGACTTCTTTAAAACACATTTACATGATATAAGCATTTTTTTTACACTAAGAAAAAAATTTGTTCTAACCCACAGCATACTGCATACTATAGAAAAAGGTGAACTAGATAGTGTTTTCGGATTAAATGGCAGAGTTTATCAAGGAATAAAGGCAATATTAGAAGGCTAGGGTTAGGTTACTTGTAAAACTGTTTTATTAAAGAATTGTTTCAATTAAAAAAAAATATACTCTTGTATTAGATTTCATTAATAATTTATTTTATTTTTCAAAACATTTTTTAAAAATGAAAACTCTTTCTATGTAAAACTTGCATAGTCCTACCCTTACTTATTTGATTATTTAAAATTTAATAACATATCAAAAATATTTAAATCAAAAGGCTTAATTTGATAAATAAGATTCCATGATTTTTTTTATATTATTGTATGATATGTTTTAATTCATTGCTTAAAAACACTCTTTCGTGGATTTGGGCACGAAAATCTGTGAGCTGATGCTTTTCTTTTCTAGATTGATCCCTCGCATGATAGCATGATGTTTGGTGATTGCTAAATTCAAATGTTAATTAAGAAATTAAAGATTAAGAATGTTTTCTAATGAAAAACAAGATTTCCGAAGGTTTTACGATTTAACAAAATCAAAAGATCCCAGTTAAATCAGATTAGAGGTGTGAAGTTTACACCATAATCGTGAGTTTATTTGAAATTATAATAATAATTATAATTTAAAATATTTTTTATTTAAAAATATATTAAAATAATTTTTTATTTTTAAAAAATTGTTTTTAAAATCAGCTAATCAACACATTAAAATAATATAAAAAAATAAAAAATATATAATTTTAACCATATTGTCTTTGTCACGAAAGTCAATGAATAGTCTATTATGTGTTTTGGCAGGACGTCTCTTGGGCTAGCATGTGAATTGGCCCCGTGCAGGCTCATTCTCAGCGCAACATGAGAAATACTATTTATTATTTAGTGATTGTGTATTCGATGATTTATTTTAATAAAATAATTAAATTTGTGTCTCAATCACTACATCAGATTTGATTAATATATAATATGAAAGGCTTAACCTAAGACTCAGAGAGCCTCTAATAAACTAAAAAAAATAAAAAATATATTATTTACTTATTTATTTTTTTATTAATTCTATATATAAAAGTCTTAGGATCAAGAACATATTTAGCATTTCATGCCCAAACCAATGCCAAACACACCCTTAAGACAGATTTTGCATGTTTAAAGATAAATATACTATTTATTATTTAGTGATTGTGTATTCGGTGGTTTATTTTAATAAAATAATTAAATTTGGGTCTCAATCACTACACCATATTTGATTAATTTATAACTTAACCCAGGACTCAAAGAGCCTCTAAAGAACTAAAAAATGAGAAATATATTATTTATTTAATTAATTTTTTATTAATTCTATATATAAAAGTCTTAGAATCAAGAACATATTTAGCATGTCATGCCCAAACCATTGCTTTAGACCGTAATTTTATAAATAAGAACATACGATTCACACTACAAATATAGATCAATGATATGTTTTAGCCTATTTAAATAATTATCAGTATAGTATGATACAATTTAATATTATTAAATAATATGAGATAATAATCAAGGATCCAATTTAATATGATTTTATCATCTTTTAACTTTTAACTTTTAACTTTTAACTTTTGGCTTTTATTAACTTATTTCCAAGCATTTTTAGAGTTTTGATAGTCAAGATAAAGTTTTAATGAAATACTGTATAGTTAAAGTTGATTTAAGAATATTATTTTATATTATTATCGGTTTGTGTGATGTATAAATAGTCACATGTTGAAAAAACAGGATTAATTTATTTTTTTAATTATATTAATGTTTTATTCTATGTTATAATTAGAGATAGATTAATTTAAATTTGCATACTATCTACTATCTACATATATTTTGTATTGTCATATAACAATAAATAAAATAGTGTTGACTCTTTTTAATTTCCTAAGATAAGATGATATATTTAGTTATTGTTAAAAAATAATATAAATTATATATTAAAACTTATTAATCAAATGTTCATCTCACAACTCTTATTTTTTTAATTAAAATTAATTTATAGCACAAAATAACTATAAATTTAAAATTTAAAGGGTTTTTATTTTAAAAAAATATTTAATTAAAATATAAATTATATTTTAATGTTGCACCTAACAATTTAATTTCATATTTTATAAAATTAAATATTTTGACATTGATTTCTTATAAATCAATTTACTCTTAATCCATTTGCCACATTTTACCAAGAAGTGATCGATTGGCTACTCAAAATAACCCCATGGAATCAATTGCAGCCTCAACCTACTCACAACCTAAAATTAACTACTCTGCAGATCCAATCTTCCACCAATTTTACCCCAATCTTCCATCAATAAATCTCGTGGGACCTAAAAAATGCCACCACATATAAATTAACCTCAATTTTAAAATAAAATAAAAAAAATCAAGCTTATATAACAAGCACATAATTAAATATAAAAAATATATTTCAAATACAAACTTAATATAAACATTCTAAACCAGTAAATTAAACACGTGATAAGTTAAGATTCAAATTTACTTGCTAAACACATAATTAAACATAAAACTAAAATATTCCTATAATTAAAATAATATTATTCTAAGCTCCTAAGAGATTTATAACTTTCTATTTTTGTCAATCCCATATTATATTTTGTTTTCCTAAAACACACAAAAGCCCTTCCCACTATCGCTAGAAAAAAAAGTATGAATAAAAATTATGATACCATATATTAATTAAAAACATTCTTAATATATGTGAAAATTCATGACAACCTCTTAGATATATAAAAGTATTATTTATAGAAGTTGAATTTTATTTTATTAATCCCATAACATCCCAATTTTGGTGAAAGATAGAAAGCAATTAATCTTGGAACTTGAAGCAATATCTAGGAGTGATAAAACTATCCTATGCTTTTTTGAACTACAAGGTTTCTTATTCCAAGATCTGTGTCCACATAACTGGAGTCAACAGCAACTTGAAGAAATGTTGTTGGTGGGAGAAACCACTTGTGGTGGCTTTGAAACACTCAGAGGGGATAAAACACACTCTTTTATTTCAAGAACAACAAGCTTACAATAACATAAACGAAAGCTTACAACAACCCCTCTCTTTCTCTCTTTCTCTCTAGTGTTTCTCTTAATCTCTCAACACATAATTGCATAAACTTAGTTATCTATTTATACACGAAATCAAAACAAGAAAATTCAGCCTTCAAGTGTGAAGGTGGTTTGTGGCCGACGGTGTGAAAGCGGCT